TTTGTCGCGTTCGAAACATTTATGGCAAATGCATGGAAGGAACACATGGGCTCAGTGATAGAATCCGGCGCTTTGAAGCTCATTCAGAGTCAATTTGATACCATGTTTCCTCGCGACTTTGAGGAAAATTTTCGGAAATTTCTCACGGAGATCAGTCCTCAGAACCGGCGTGCGCTGGCGTCTCTGGTGCGGTTGCTGGCCGAGTTGCTCGATGCGTCTGGAAACGACGGCGATCGAGGTGCCCTGACTGCGGCCTTCGCCGAAATTCTGACGGTCGAAGGGGACCCCATGCAGCACATATCTCTTTTAGACCGACTTGTGGACGATTTTGACAATCTCTTCGACGAGTTCATTCCCAGCGGCGCATCGCTGGATGGGATCTTAAGCAGCGATCAAACCAAACCAAGTGCGCGAGACGCAGGGTCTATTAGCTCGAATGCGTCCTCGTTCCGGAAACGTTTCGGCTTCAGCCTGCATCGAGAGGGTTCCAAGAATGAAGGAGAAAGCAAGGTCTCGTCAATTCTGAGGACTCTCAGCAAGAGCAAAAATTCTGGCGACTCGGAACCCAATACCCCTCGAGGCTCGTTGCTGCGTTCCAAATCGATCGACGTGGACGCTGGGCTTGGTCTGCTGTTACGACCAGGCTCGCGCGACTTTCCCAGTGCAGCCTCATCGCAAGAACACCTCCGACGACCAGGTAGCTCTCAAGGGCAGCCCCCATCTCTATCCTCAATCCGAGGAATCTCAACGAACGGAGTAGTCAAGGTTCGGAGAAGGAGAAGGAGCTCCTTATCCGATCTGAGGCCCGGGACGGCATCCACGGACACGTCTGCTGTATCGCCTAGCCAGGATCCGCGGCCTGCCACTCCTGTATCATCAACCAATCGTTCCGAAACCGAATTGGCGACCCCAACTACACAGCCCAGACCACAGACAAGTCACGGCACAGATTCTACGAACAGAAGCACGTCGCCCGCCAAAATCAACTCCCCTTCTCGACTGGCATCGCCAAGCCGACGATCACCGACACGTCCAGTTACCCCAAGCCGCAAAGAGAACATTGACCCAACTTTGAGTCGAACGGACCGACCTCCAAGAAAGAAAAGCGACCTTGCTGTTTCTCCCACTCAAGAGCAAAAGAGAAGATCGCGGACACTCAGCATACCATCATCACGAAATGTTGGGCTCAAGGAGCGCCCAGCGCTGGTTAACGGATCTGACCCCAGACGCCTGCAAAATTTGGCCTCTTCACAAAGAACCCCAAAGCTGCGCATGCAGAGCCCACAAAAGGTATGGTCCCCAGACTTCCCTCTGCTGTTCGGCCGACTATCATTCTGTCTCTCTGATCTTTCTTCATTGTCATCATCTGCCGAGAGGACTTTTGCCTAACATATCTACAGCTTCGAGATCGTCTCCAAAGCGAGAAGAGGCTACAACATTCTGCACAATTGGGGCTCAAAGAGGAATTGGCTTTGATTGGCGAGGAACTGCAAGCTTTGAACATCGCAGCACCGCAACAATTGAAGAATGCAGGACAGAATCCTGGGTCGTTAGACGCACCATCTCTGTCGACAGCTGCTGATTCAGCTCTTCTCAACCATATTGGCAATCTAGAGTCGAAGTTTGAAGTGCTTTCGCAGGAGTTGAATAGCCGCACTGCTGCAATCGAGAGAGATCTGGAATCGTCTCTTGTTGTTAGCGAGAAGCGAGCAAAGAAATTAGATGAGCTGTACCGGGAGGCTAGCGCGGAGAATGAGGCTCTGTATGATCGTTTCAATCTGGAGCTGGGAAAGATTGTGCGAGATGTTCGATCTGGAAGCGTGGAAGAGGCCCTCCGGACACAATTATCCGAGGCATTGGAGGAGATTGGAAGGCTCAAGAAGGAGAACTTTAGGTTGAAAAGGGAAGTTGGCGGACTACGTGCACAACAAGCAGCAGTGGCCTTGTTAAAGGCGAGCGAATGAACGATGGAACATTTACGAGACATTTTCAATGCCGGCCCAAGGTGACCTGTGGCTGGCCACTTCCCAAGGCTTTGGCGTCGAGCTATCTTTCCTTCTTCTACTCGGCACAAAATCATTTCTTTGCCATGGACATGATCTCATGCATCTTACTGGAAAGCGATCATTCTCGGTTCGTATTTTCTCTTTTAGATCACCTTTTCTCTACGCATGGCGTCAAGGCAACCTTGTTGAACGAACCCAGGCGCTGTGCCTGCTCCGGAGAATATCATGATTTTTATGGAGGGACTCCACCTCGGTCCTATCTATGATTCCGTCTTCTTGAATCACACGTGTCTCGTCAGACTGACAGGCTTTTCTTTCTGGTGGGCCACCATGTTTATGCACTCCTTGCACTAGTGCTGGTGCACCCTGCTTCAGCAACCATCGTTAACCCAGCTGCACGGAGAATATCCCATCTAATATGCCTAATATAGCCTTCCGTGGTTTCCTCTCACCCATCCTCCGAGTAGGTAACGCTACCTTAAACGTGACTCTATGTATGTGTATAGTCCAGATAGCAAGATTTCATAACCAACCCATCAATTTGAGAGGATCCTGATCGATCATCTTGTACATCCATTGCCAACGTACGGTCCAAGGCATTGAAGTCTGAAGTAGACTTTGCGCTTGAGAAGCGGAAAGTAACCTGTAAGATAATGTGGGAAGCGCCAGCGGCACTTGGTGTGCGTTGCCACCAGAGTTCTTTTGAACAACCAGCACAGGAACGGTGAAGCGAGCTTGCCCCGGAGCTTCGAGCGCCAGGCGCTTCAGCAGCGCTGCCAAAGCCGGATGCTGATGCTTCTTCCCGCGACCCTGTCCATCGGCCATGCCCCGGATGGCCTGCAAATCGGACTGCCGCAGCGACCGCACAACCAGCGACAGCCCTTCCGCGTCATAGCACCGACGGACCCCATCGAGCTCGGACTGCGTGTATTGCGCACTCATGTCGGAGTCTCGTTCTCCCTTGTCCGGGACCACGGCGGCCCGCACCCAGTACCGATTATCCCACAGCTTCCAGGGCGAGTAGATGTCCTCTGATTCCCGGTCGGGGAGTTCAAGGGCTAGTGAGGGGGCGCGGTTGCGCATGTATGGTTGGCGAGTGAGGAGCCATGTATTTTCGTTTTCGGTATGGTTGGTCTGATTGGGGGTAGAGGTGGACGTGGGTTGGAAAGGGTGGAACATGATGCCGCCCAGTGTGAAGGGGAGACGGTTCGTTGGGGTTGATGACGAGGACGAGGAGGGAAATACTTCTGCGGTGAACTTCTCGAAGCTAGGGAGGGGAAAGTGGTTGTGCGGGTGTGGGGAGATGAGTTCTGTGATGCGGCGGAGGGTGAGAGATTGGACCTGGGCTTGGAAGTGAGGGGAACGGATTTGTTCTGGCTGCGGCTGCGGCTGCGTCTGCGAGGTGGGGAATCGGATGAGCATTGTCCCTGTGCTTGGGTTGAAGTCTAGGAGGCGGCATTGCGATAGTAGGTTGTTGGAGTGGGCGATGGCGTCTTCGATTAGGGCGTGGCTTGATTTGATGAGGGAGAGAATGGAAGGGGCCCGTAGGGCGCGCGGGAGGAGTGGGGTGGAAGACGAGGACAGGAGGCTGCGGATGGCGTTGCGCGCGGTGAGGGTTGGATCGAAGTTTGTCGGGTCTGAGACGTAGGGGACGCGGTGTTGGTGGCAGGTTGCGAGGAGGGAGGCCTTAGGGAAGGCCAGGAGGGGCCGGCAGAGGAGGATGCCGCCAGTGGCCATGGGGAACCCCGGTTGCTTGTCCTCGTCCTTGTCAGGGACTACCGATGTGGTCGTGTTCCCGACGAGAGCAGAGGGTGCGCCTGCTCGGTCGTCGCGAGGCAGGAGCACCGCCGAGGAGCCACTCTCCGAGACGCCGTAGAGACCATGACACTCTGGGATCCGGGCGATGGGTGGGATACCGGCCAGGCCGGCACCTCGAGCGCCAGAACATAGTCTCCAGAGGGTCGTCTCGACGTTGTCATCCTGGTGATGGCCCATGAGGAGGGCGCTGATGCATCTGTCTCGGCAGGCTATGCCGAGGGCCTGGAAGCGCAGACGTCGGGCATGGGTCTCGAACGCGGAGACGTTGGTGCCCTGTGGCCAGTCGAGCTCGAGAATTTGTGCTTGCAGGCCTGTGTGGCTGTTAGTCCATCGCTTGTTCGCAGGATCGTCATCTGGCTTACCGATATCTCTCAGCCATGTAGCTACAGTTCGAGCTTCCCGGCTGCTCTCCTCTCGGGCTTTGTGGTCGACGACGAAGGCTGTGACGGTCAACTCGTCCACGAGGTTCTGTTCTTGTAGTTGTTTACAGAGGAAGGCCAGAGCCATAGAGTCTGCGCCGCCGCTGACGGCCAAACCTGTTAGACAATTAGAACACAACTCGGCGGCCGTGATTATCCAGCGAGGATGCAAACTGACATACCCAGGTTACGAGGGATACGGCGATTGGCCTGTCGTCCGCCCCAGGAGAGACGCGACTCGCTCCATGCTCGCTGAAAATGCTCCAGGAACTGGGAGGCTGTGATTGCTTTGTGAGAAAGTTGTCTGGAGAGACATGATGCAGCCATTTATCATTCTGGCTAAACTTAAGGATGATGTGTGTTGTTGATGTTGATGGAAAAGATGGATGACGGAGTGAGAAAGTAGTGGTGGTTCTTGGCGTCGGCGGACGAAATATATCTGGTTGCTTTGTGGGCATTGAAGACCTCTACGCTTGACAACATCAACAGGAATCAGATCAATTCGCTTAATTTTTGTAATCGCTAATCACATTGATCAAGTACATGGTTCTACACGTCTGGAGCAGGCCATTCCCACAATAGCTGGCCCAGAAGAGGCCACGAAGGGTAGCAAAGACAGATCCCAAACTCCGGGTGTGCAATATGGACACAGAGAATAATATGACAGAGAAGGTTAAAGAGAAGAAAGTCGATGCACGGCTCTCGGCCTTAACGCCTCATAAGCTTCCGTCCTAAACGGCACGACCAGTCGTAGAGTTCACGAGTTTTGGATAGACACAGAAGCAGATCCCGACGCTGTCTGAGAATGGACACTGCTGGGCTGAGCACTTTCTTCATCCCCGTTTGCCATGCCAGCTGTTTCCGACAGATGTGGCGTATTCGTTGCGTCGGCCGACTGGCTTCCTTGGTCGCCTTCTCTGCCTGACCCAGGCATTGGTATCTCTTTCTTTCCATTGGCTCTGTAGTATAAAATCATGTCGCCGGACGATCTCCAGATGTGAGCGCGGATGGTTGCCAGAGTCATATTGGGCGGGATGAGCTGGTTCAAGTTAGCAAAACAGTACGAGGTGGTCTGGCGTCAACATGTACACACCATCTTCTGGCAGTAGAGCTCCAGATACTCTTCCGGCTTCAGTGCGCCTTCCTGCGCGTCTTCGGAGTATGAAGGGTCAATTCTTTCCGCCACGTAAGCGAGAATCTTCTTCGCACGCAGCATCCGGTTCGCATTCAAACGAGAATTGTTGACACCGTTACCATTAGGAACCGACCTACAGTAGTTACACCGTTAGCATAATACAATAGACCAACGGAGGTTTTGTACATACGGGTCCGGCTTGGATACAGGCGGCAGCAGGTCGTCATAAGGCTTCAGCATAAAGGCGATCTTGACGGGTTCCTTGACAGGTACTTGGTTCTACCAAGAATTAGCGATATTCATAATCCGAATCACCGAAGATATGTCACCTTCAAAAGCAGTTCGGCCAGCCACATGGGTATCGACTTCTCAAGCCTGTCAATCTCCTGGCCGATACTACCGACACTGCCTCTGTAGAGATCCGAGGCCACAGCGGTATCTCCCGATTCCTCCTGAATGAAAACGGCAGTACGAGGTGGGATATCTAGCATTGGGGTCTCGTTATCAGGACTTGGCGTGATGGCTGACACGAGCTCCTGCCCCGGATTCGCCGCGAGAAATTCATCATATTCGTGACGGATTTTCTCGATGAAACCGCTCAGATTGCTATCAAAAACTTTCTCTTCTTTGACTGCCGAGGGTTCTTCCGGTTCCTCCACCTTCTCCTCCTGCACCTGAGGCTTGACCTCGGAGGAAGTCCTGCCCAACTTCTTGGGGAATTCCATCCGGAATTTCTTCCCAAAGATCGATCCAGTTCTCTTCCTCTCTTCTTTATCAGGCTCGGCGGGCGATTGAGGCAGTGCGGTTGGAGTAGGATCTCCCGGCGTCGTCGCATCCACCGCATTTGAGCCTTGGTGTCTCGGGGAGGAGAAGTAATCGGATTTGTCAGACATGGAATTCCTCACTACATCGGCATGAGGCGATGCGAGATGGTCACCGAAATCACCCGGCGACGTGCCGAAGTGATTGTTGTGAGTATTGAGCATGGAAGACGTCAGCGAACCTGGAGTAGTGGCAAGATGAATTCCGAAACCGGGCGTCGTAGGGCTTCCAAATGATTCATTTCCAGGGCGCATGTGGAGAGAAGACGGATCATATGGGATCTGTATTCCTAGATTCTTTGCATTCGATGATGGAATGTCCATCGGTGCCGTGACACTTGACATGGTCTGCCTGGCCAACTCTTCAGCCCTTGCAATGGCTGACGCACGGTACTGCTCATCTCGCTTGATCTCTTCATCCACCAGGGGAGCAAAAAGCCAACGGAGAACCCATTTCCCAAGATTTACTGTTTAAGGTCAGTAAGATCAGACAAGAGAAAAGGGCAATCGAAGATTCGAGGGTCAGGAAAGGAAAGTCACCCACTTCTTTGATCTTCCCGGATCTGTGAGTAATCATGGAGGTCGGCCTCGTCCGCGTAGACCTCGGCGTCAAAGCAGCGATTGAGCTCCAGGATGACAGATAATCGACCTGTCCTAATGTCAATCGTGCACCAGTGAGCGATGCTCTCTGTAGTATTGATCTCCGACGCGACATCGTCCATATGGCGCTTGCCGAACGATTGTATGGGTTTGCACTGCAAGGGTCAGAAGAAGCCTTGTCGGGTAGATGGCGAGAGATTACCTTCAAAAGATCCCAAAGAACGACCTCACCGGCGGAATCTTGCGTAAGCGTGCGCTTTCTGTCACTCAACATGAAATGCTTGATCAGACCATGTTGGCCCTCTATCGTCTCTTCGGGTAGCGAGTACACTGGTAGATTGAGATCCAGATCGTCGTCCAGGTCCGGATCGGGTGAGCGCTGCTGTCCGTTCGTCGGCAAGCCCTCGGATGTACCTGCTGGGACTCGTGACTTGGGGAATGTGGATGTGCTTGACAGCAGTAGAATTGACTCATATGGTATCTTTGTCCGCCGACCTTTCTGGGCCAACGACTCCTCGGGCTTGGCTGCTTGAGAGCCTGCGGGGCCCCTTGACGAGGGAGACTCAATCTCAGCAGTGGTATCAATATCATACCAGCGGTTAATACTGGACTTGGGGGTGGCAGTCCAGATGTAGTCACCGGCAGCGACCACATTGACGACGCCGTCGTTTTCTTGCAACGCTGCGACACAGATGCCCTGATCCACGTCCGAGCAGTGCCTTGTATCTGTCTTGGCAACCAAGCCAGAACGGTCGCTCGAATAGAAGACCGACAGCTGTGGATGACTGGAGTAGAGCGACCAGACGCTGTCGTTGTGCATCGTCAGGGTGTGCATGCATCTTCCTGCTGTGAGAGACCAGATCTTAATCGTTTGATCCGAAGAGGCAGTCATGATCCTATCTCCGTCGCGAGTGATCAAGATGTCTCGAATGTTGTCTGTATGGCCCACGAATTTGGTGATCGGCTTTCCAGATTTCGGATCCCAGACTCTGACCACGCTCTCTGGGCCGCCGCTGGCGAGGACCGACGAGACTGCCCCCAGAGCATAAACAGAACCCTTGGCCGTGCTCTCGCCTCCGCAAGCATCGATGCTGAGAACCTCGCCGCCACCATTCAGATCCCACAGGTAAAGCTTATGATCGAGTCCCCCCGAGGCCACCCAACTTGAGTGACCTCCGGGCGTCGCAAGGGCCTTGACATAATCTGCATGTTTGCCGATGGGTGATGGCAGCTCGGTGGATTCCGAGTGTGGTCGCCAGAGCCTCACGGTGGTATCGGATGAAGCCGAAACGAGGGCCGAATTATTCTGCGTTAAGACGATGTCATTGATCCAATGGCTGTGGGCTTGCACTTGATGTCTGAAAGTAGTCGGTCCTGACTTTTGAGTGCCTGGAGCTGGAGAGGCCTTGGATGCGGAGAGGGGGAGATTGAGATCCCATGAGCAGATCACTCCATCGCGGCCAGCGGAATATCTTAGAGGACGGCAGTCAGCTACTGTAGCGTACAAAATAATCCAACAGGAACTTTCGAATAAATTATCATAGGCAGTAGGTAGGGACGGGCTCACAGGATAGAATTGTCTTCATCAACGGTCAAGCTATTTACTCCGAGTCGGTGACCACCCGGCGCATCAGGCAGAGGGAGCACTAAACAGCCGCAGTTAGATAAGCCGTGGGGGGTCGCAATGCGACAGGCCAGAGGGTAGACAGGTAGGATGAGGAAAAGAACATACCATAAGTGACCCTCTGATGACTTGGTTTCCGTGCCATGCAGCAGGGATACAGACCGATGCACTAGAAGGAGGATGGAAGGCAAGGAGAAACGCTGCGGAGACGGGGAGATGATGCGGATTGCGGAGTGGTTAGTGGTGATCCGCCGGACAGCTCGGGGGACGATCACACAAGGAGCGCAGAGAATGTGGGGTTACTAAGGGTGATGCATCTAAGGGCATAGATGACGATATTAACAGTGACACAGAAAGAGTGAAGATTAGATTAATGGTTAAAGTAGCCCAATCCAAAGACCGAAAGAGAGAGATATAGGAGGGAGGAGAAGAGGAGCAAACTAAGGCCAGAGAAAGGTGAGGAGAGAAGAGGAGAAGGCGGGATAGCAAGAAAGTGTTAAATTGTCCCCAGGCATGATATTGTCTGTGCAGTAAGCTCCAGAACGCTAAGTCTCCATAGACAGATAATAGCCTAATTCTACAACGGCCTCTCATAACACATCAGGAACAGATAGATATATTCTACCTCGTAGACTATACATCAGCGTTGTTGTTTCACCATATGTTCGAGTCTATCCAGGGCCGATGTTTCAGTCTCAGTCTCGAGTCCTGTGGCCGTGTAACCTTTGTTCAACAATCAACTGGCTTGGCTAGAGATCAGCCACGAGGTGGACACTCATCTCCAAGACAGTGACAACAACTGTCATGATGACTAGAGCACATAGTCTCCAACTTGGTATCCACCCTGATATCATCTGGATGGCGCTGTGTAACTCTCACTGCTAAATTCTATACAACAAAACACATCTCTCTATCCTTCCATCTATACCTACTTGTAGATAACATGGACATCCCCATCCCGTCCATCAAACCAATCTACCACCCATCTCCCACCACCTCCACCCCCAAATCCAAATCCGTCCAAACAACCATCCAAACCCTCCATCTCCAACCTCACCCGGAAGGAGGCTACTACGCCGAAACAGACCGTCCCCCGCTGCAGATCCCCAATCCTCACCGCAAAGACCAAAGCGACACCAACAACAACACTGACAATACCCGCTCCCTCTCCTCAACAATCTACTACTATCTCACCCCAGACTCCCCAACGTGCTTCTTCCACCTGAACCGCAGCCGCACGATTCACAGTCTCCACCGCGGCCGGGCCCGGTACGTCATTATCCACGCGGACTTGGCGACGCATGATGGCCCGGCGCCTGTTACGTCGTTTGTGGTCGGTCCGGACCTAGACAAGGGGGAGAGGATGCAGTGGGTTGTGGAGGGGGGGAAGTATAAAGCTTGTTATCTGTTGCCTGATTATCCCTCGGAGAACGGAGATGGGGAGAGCGAGGGGTTGTTGATTACGGAGGTAAAGTGCATGTCGATATAGAAGCAGGGATGTATACTGACATGCCAGACCGTTGTCCCTGGGTTTGAATTCGAGGATCACGAGTTCCTGAACCCCCAGACGATGGAGTCGCTGCTACCGGAGGAGCAATGCCGGGCGCTGAGCTGGATGCTAAAGAAGGATGGATGACGTCTACTTCTACTGTACATACCTTGGGTAAATATAGATATACATTCTATTGCGATTCCCTCTTCCGCTCAAGGGTATTCCACGCCCACTGGTAACTCCCCAGAAACACCGCGCCCCCGATCCCAATCCAGGCCACTCGCGGCCCAATCCCGCGCCAGAACGCCCCGAATCCTTCCCCCGATATCTCCTGCACCACATCGCGGATGCGCACGCGGGCGCTCCCCTCGCCCCGCCGCGCCAGCATCACCCGCGTCTTAATAACATCCAGCGGCGTCGTCAACCCCGCCGCAATCGACCCCGCAACACTCCCAAACATCGCGCTCGTCGACGCAGGAACCTGGATCACCGCGCCCGACTCCGCCGACGGCACCAGCACGCGCTTGGCATACGCCTCCTTCATCGACTCCCACATGGTAAACTGCAGCACCGTGAAGGGGATCTCCCGCGCAATCGTGATCCCCGCCCCGCGGTACAGCTCCCGGACGACCTGCCCGTACCCGCGCTTCGCATTCCCCGTCGGGTCCGGGTGCCGCAGCGCCAGGATGTCCTTGAGCGCCAGCAGGCTCGATCCACCGAAGAGACCGGCCTGTGCCCGCTGCTTGACCACCTCCGTCGGCACCCGCACGGCGCATGCGGCGATCTCGCCCATCGAGGAGGCGAGCGAGTGTGTGAGGACGACGTGGGAGCGCGAAGCGGCCGCGTCGGAGCCGGAGTGAGGGAGGAGGGAGCGTTTGACGCCGTCGTAGACGATGAAGAAGGATGCGGCGGAGGGGGCGGAGCCGAACAGCACGGACGGGAGACCCGCATAGATGCCGCGGATGGTTTGTCTTAGCGACAGGGTGGGTGCTAGCGTGCTTGGAGCATGGTGTCTAGCTTTCTGTAGGCGAGTTTTGATTGTGTCGAGGGGATAGAGCGAGCAATCGACTGTGAGGCCGGCTACCGCTCCGGACTAGAGGCGCAGGAAAGGGAAGAGGTTAGCACTCAGCCACCGGAGGAAGACTTGACAGATAGCATTAAGGAGACACGGATAGAAAAGGAACCAATCTTACAATCAGGGATCTTGTCCAGAGGGAGACCAATGGCTCTGCTTCTAATTGCTGGGCCATGGTAGATAGGAAGCTTGAGGTTGCAGTTGAGTCACGTTCTACCTCAACATGTCGGACAGAAGAAAACTGATTTTGCGCGGTTCAATTATCTAACCAATATATTGGAAGTTATTGTAGACGCTAATTGAGAATAATAATAATGGAGAGAAATAAATTCGTGAAAGGTTGTAATGCTGCAGGAAGCAGAAACGGAGAATGCGAGTGTCGAAAATGAAGCTCCAGATTTCGACCATCTCCGCTAATCGCCCACTGTGGGAGTCGGCATAAAGTCCGCTATCTCCGCCAACTACGTCAACGGCCCATCTGAAGGTTATCAAAACTACTCAGTTGAAGAGCTCATGAACAGCCTTCGCATTTGGTATTTCTCGTTGATTTATAATATCTACTTAACCACTTTGTCTCTGGGAATGCACAATTAGAGACTGGTAATATAAACAGAATGACAGGATTCCTGGCAAAAACCAGACACACTCTAACTGCCCCTTCACCACCTCAGTTTGACGACGACAATCAAAGAGAATAATTAAACTCTAACGAATAAACATCTATCGCGGGAGCCGGATGTTGCTTCAACAGACCGCCCCCCGAAGAAGAAACCACAACGCCTGGTAAGCATAATCACTAAGCCCTCTTTCCAACGCTGAGATCAACAATACAATGATACATAGAACGGATGAGTCTGGTGAGGGGGTGAGAAGTGTGATGAGCTCGCTCACACAGTCACGTATTTCGGAGGAAGGACGGTGGCAAGGGGAAACAAAGGATGAATCGGCGCCAGCAGCTCCATGGCGAAGTGAAGGCCATAGGATTTCAGACGGGAGTCCCTTGGCTATCGTAGACGTAAAGGCGGATGAAGCGAATAAAAGGTGGAAAGATGGATGGTGGTAAGAGACAGATCGTATCCAAAATTCGGAAGCAATCATTTTTCACCTGTAAGACCAGAGACATTTTGCAGGGACAAGTGAGATGGAAGGCTTATTTGGCCTTGTTATTGGGCTTGTTGTTGGCTTTGCTCTGGACTGGCTGCGCTGGCGAAGGGGGCTCCAAGACATGGGTATGATTGCAAGCTTTGATAACCTCGCCCGTTACCTCCTGCCGGCAAGCTTCGATGTTTCGAACCCACTCATCGGTCAAAACATCTTCCAGAGTGGCCCGCTCCTTCACGTTCACTTTAAGCATGCGACCGATGATATATCGGCTTTCGCGTGGCAAGATACGCAGGAGCCTCCAAGGGCCCTTGATGACCTCCTGACGCTGACTCGATGACTGCGCTGAAGCTGGGAGAGGCGGCGCTTCCTTGCTCGTTGTTCGAGTCGGTTTGTTGAAGTTGCCGCTGACCTTATCTTTAGGACTCTCAGGAGGGCGGTTCTCGTCACTCGTCGTGGAGGTGGACGGAGCTTGTTTCTTTTCCGAGTCCGGTTGTGCCGAAGGCTCACTTGATCCGTGCTTCTCCTCCGCTGGTTGCGCCGGATTGTCCTCGTTGCCAACCGACGACAGGTCTGGAGCTGATTTAATGGGACGGTGACGCTTCGGGTCAGCATCCGGCACAGGGGTTCCTGGCGTCGGTGTTGAGACAAAAAGCCTATAGGAGTTATCGCTGACGCGGGGTTGCTTCCACGGAAATCGGCGCAGTGTCATGCAGCAGAATATAATAGCCAATGACCATATATCTGTGGGACGCGGGTCATACTTCTTTTCGTCGTATACCTCTGGTGCCAAGTAGGGGTCGGATCCCACAATACCTGTAACACAAACCAAGTAAGCTACGCTGGTCCAAGAAGAGGTCCGCATTGAAACAACTCACCAGAAGCAGGAACAATGTCATTCTCAAAGGGATATCGGAAGACAACCGCACTGCCGAAATCGATGAGTTTCATGATGCCGTGCTCATTGACAACCACGTTATCCAACTTCAAATCCCGGTGCGCCAGTCCCATGCCGTGTAGGTAGGCCACACCACTGAGGATTTGCTTGAAACTGCATGCGATTTCGTCCTTGGACATTTTCCCGGTCATGACGATCGCAAACAAGTCATAGGGCGCGTATTCCATAACCTCGTACCAGTGATCCCCCTCCTGAATGATATCGAGTGTCTCGATGATGTTGCCGTGGTGCAGGGTTGACCCAATACAGAACTCGGCTGTCACCTTCTTGGAATACTCCTTCATGGTCTCCCAGGAATGACGGTCTCGGAATTGTTTCACGGCAAAAGTCACTCCATCACTGTTACGCTTCAATAACCGAACAGAACCGCCGGCTCCGGAGCCCAAAACTTTCCCGAGCTTTCCGTATTTCGTGTTGAGCCCGTGGTCATCGGCGAAAGGAACGTTTTCTGAGGGTGTGCTCTTTCCAGAAGAGCGGCTCGACCGCTTCGGGATAGATGAGGGAGAATCGCCTCGCTTATGCTTGTGGTGACCCATCTTGAAGAAGCGCTTGAGTTCCGACATGTGGCCATGATGTTTGCTTTCACCGCTGTCGCTCTGTCGTAAATCTTTCTTGCTGCCGAAGATACCGCTTCGCTTGTCGCTAGATTTCAAATCGCCAGCACTGGCGGAKCGGGGGGTTCCGGGACGAGCGAAAGCTGACGTCGTGTGGCTTCGGCGTTTGGAGTCACGGCCTCCAAAGATGAATCGTTGATCGATTTGGGCAAGGTTCTTAGCCTGAGGCGGTCGCTTGCTGCGAGCATACGGGTCGTTCGGCTCTCCCACAGGTGTAATGGCGCCTGGCGGGGTATAGTCTCGTGGTGTCATTGGCGGGCTCTCCTCCTGCGAGCCTGGTTCAGCCCCGGGACCGAGAAAGAATTGCGCCCGATGCTTCGGCCCGTTCAAGGGGTTAGATGAAGTTTTCGAAACGTCGATCTGCTTGGACAGTTGGTCGGTGGAAGACGGCCGAGACGAGGGCGCGCTCTGCGGTATCCCTTTTCTCTCAGCCACTACTGGAGGCGACGTTTGCGGAGTCATGGCTGCTGCAGCGGTTCTATTCGTGGCATTGGTGGTAGGAGGAACGCTTTGATGTGTGGCTTCACGCGAATTAGTAGCTGCAGGTGTAAGAGGAGGCGATTGCATCGGAGAAGCACGGGGAGACGGCAAAGAGGAGCCATTAGGTTCCCGGGCACTGCGATCGCTTGATTCTCGAGACGTGACCTGTGAAGTAATGCAGCGTTAGTCTACACCGACTGCTAGGCTTTGTAGATAGATACTATAATATCGCGAAAGCCAACATCGACCGTTCGCATGCCACATACCCTGGACGAAGGAAGAGAAACGGGATCATAAGAAAAGTTTCGCAACCGAGTCTCCTGCAACTGAGAGCTTTGGAGGCTCTCTGCTAGTCGTTGTAGGTCATCGTTCTCCTTTCGAGGCACTGCGGATTCTGGTTCGGGCGATTGAGGAGCGTTTGAAGACTCGGGTGGCTCGATTTCTTCGGTAATGGTGGAAAACCGAACCTGACCCGGTTGTGCTTTGGCCATAGATTCACTGTTGGACGAACCCGTGGCCTGGCCAGCTGCCATCGGGGTGTGCTCCTGGGTTGCCTGAGATGCTAATATTGAAGTCGAGTACGTTAGAGTGCGAGTTGCAGGCGAAAAGTTAGAGCATTGCCTACCAGGACCCATGTTTTTGGTTGTACCGGCAAACTCGGTCGCTCCAGACGTCATACGGACTCGTCAAAACCACGCTGTGGAACGCATGCCCCTCCACAGTTGCGAACCCTGTTGGTTTAAACTTTGAAATGACAAATCCTTGTCGTTCAGATTGTAATTCCTGCTGCGACTGTAAACTGTACCTGCGGGGTCAACCCTGCACAGGATGTAGAGGGTTGGATAACGTGGGAATTGTAAGGAGTGAGCGCGGGGGGTAAATCTCGTATGGAAGACGGAGCAAAACTTCTGCTCAGACCGACTGTTACTCAACAGCTCCAACGAGGACAGTTTTGAGCCTATGGGCTGGAATCAATTATTAATCGCCACTGCTCGGAATTAAAAGAAGAGAAAGAATCGAACAAGTCTGGAAAGAAAGGTGACGATGATAGATAAGAGGACGAGGGATTAAGATAGGAAGATCCACAAGTCGTAGTTGCTGGTAGAAATGTCTACCTTGGACAAATAAACGCTGAGATGGAGAATGGGGAATGGAGAAGAATGAAGAGAGGGGAGAAGAGTAAGTAAGAACGGCGGATGCAGAGAGTTGGGAGCCACTTTCAAGAGTCGACTCTGGGCTTGCTTGGACGGCGGCGGCAATAGCGGCGACGGAACGAGAGCAAAGGTGGGTGGACCTTACTACGACTATGTTTGTATGTACTCCAAATCATTCTTACTTACTATTGAAGCGACAAGGCATCAACGATCATACTAATAAATACTAATATGCTAGTTAGCTGTCATATATTTATATGGTGATCTGGGACTCGGCGACGGAAATGCCATCATATTTCAGCTTTGTTTGGCCGAAGCAGTCGGGCGACAGTACACCCATGCGAATATCCTCCTTCCCTCAGATATACTGTCATAGCTGGTAGAGCGAATAATTGAACGATCCTCTCCTCGTGCTAGGTACAGAGCTTTCAACAAAGAGAAAGGTTACTAAGGTAACAATACTCGGAATATTGTGGAGAAGTATGCTCGATCTACCATACGAAGTAGGAAGTCTGTTCAAGTTGTATGACGCAGCAGATACTACTCACCTCTGCACTGAAGAGCTATGTATACATCCGGCACTTTTCAAGATCATAAAAAAAATACTCTGTAGAACCGATAAACCACCAAGTTCAAGGCACACAGGCCTGCATATTCGAGGTCAGCTGCCCCATCTGCAGCCGGGTCCAAGAACTCCAAGAACAAGAACCAGTCCGTTCATCACCTGGAAATCTGACGGATGCCGTCTATCCGTGTCAACCAACCACCCAGGCCCACGATTGGAAGCCAGCTACCTACCTTACAGTCTCAGGACGAGATCGGTCCAATCCCGCACTGGCGGAGACCGAGATGGCTGCTCTTCTACCCCGCTAGATTTTTCTGGATTGTGTTTGATTCACTAGGTAAGAATCGTGCATGCAGCGGCTGATAGAAAGGTGGGCGGGCAAAGGCAAGGTACAGGTACCTACCTACCTGGAGCGGACGGTAATCTCCCTGTCAACTGCGGGCTGATCTCATGTCATTAGTTATAATGTGAGCTTGAGTATCTCATCCAGATAATCATCTCCTCTTTTCTTTGAACGTCTGTACAAGATTCTCTCTGGACTATGACTTTGTATACTAGAGTGCCTAAGGTACCTAGGTTATGTACAATAACCTACATGACTAGATACCCCATCCATATGCAGCTCCAACATGGTGGGGTAAGTGACATGGCCAGCATAACTAGTCCCGATTGGGATGCCAAGACTCTTGATATGACACTACTGAATCCGGTTAGCATGGAGATCACCAATTGATGATATCTACTGGAGAGGTAGTAACTCATTCCATAGTGGATGATCCTTGTTCTATCTTTCATCTTCGGACTGTTATCCTTGGAGAGTTGTCTGTCGAGAGTGGAGAGCTAGAAAGGATGACTCAAATGAACTGGAGCTATTGAGAATACCGAGGGCTCAACTCATGTTTCTTAGACGAGGAGCATTCACTCTACAAAAGTGTCTCAATGCAGCCCAATGCAGATGACGACAATTCGTCAGCAACTATCTGGAAATTCCAGAACATGGAGGTATGAGGGGACAAAGAATGCTGGGGTAGCGAGACTTACGGTTTGGGAGATGACTTGTAGTCGTATTCACCGACTCCGGAACTCTGATAGTCGACAAGAGCAAATCACAACTCCCATGAACTTTCAAGTAGGGATCTGCAGACTGCTGGTAGCGTCGTCCATCATGTCTTCTTATTCAGAGTCTGCCAAGACTACAATACCCAGGGGATTGGGTGGATTTGTGCAGTTCCATTCTCGCCAAGCGAATTCACGGAGAATGATGTGCAACCCTTGGACACTATTGATGAATTACATCTGCTGTCTAGATACCTAGCCAAAAAACTACGAGTCTCATCCGGCGGTATCTGACTAGCAATTATCCGTGAGCATCCCCGTCGATGTCTTGTATCTTGTCTTCTATTGTCATTTGGAGCTGGTGGTCTTCGCCCAAGCACGACGGGAATGCTATGAACCACCTTCGTCAGAACACGATGGTGCAAAAGGATCCCCTTCTCACACCGCTCATAAGCTTGTCAGAATACCGAAGGCGAAAGCCAAAGGCAGAGTCCATGATCCACTCGACGTTTCACGTAACCTCTCCAAGGAAAGGAGCCGTCAATTTGGCCTCGGCCATTTCTTTCTCAGCCAACCAGTCTTCAAGTTCCACAACTCAATTTATTCAGTGCGCGCAAATGCTGTGGGTATTTGACGACGCTCTATATCGCATGCAAGTCCTATAATGTACACATTGTAAAAGCCCAACCCAAACAACGCCGGTGTCGTAATCCAAAACAGCATGGCTGCAGTCGCACGAATCGCGAAAGTATACAACGTGAGATGAACAGTCCTTTCTTCTAGGTGCTTATTCAAGGCACAACCTGGATGCCAATCGACTTTGCCTGCGCCATAATACTCTTGCACAGTCCCTGCAAACTCAATCCCGATAATCTCGTCTCGGACTGCTTAATCTTGGCGATTTCGTAGACATGCTTCAGGGACACTTTGCCGACGGTCTCGTGGCCAGGCTTCATGGCTCCGCGGATGCGGTTCTTGCGGGGCTCCACGTTCGCAGCCTGCAGGAGGAGATATGTCGTCGTTGGGGTTCGAAGGTCGAAGGTGAAGGATCGGTCAGGACGAACGGTGACTCGTGCGGGAATGGGGACTCCGGTGTTGATGTGCGCGGTTCTGGCATTGAACTCCTATATGGGTGCGTTGCGGTTTAGTAAGATCATCTAACTCAACCTTTCCATCCAGATCCGCATTAAAGCCGGATAAGGAAGTTGAAGAGAGGAGCGTACCTTGCAGAAGTCCATACTCTTGACACCCTTGCTACCCAGGGCTGGACCAACTGGGGGACTGGGACTGGCTTGTCCAGCTCCGACAATGAGCTTGACGATCTGATCTTTAGCCAGTGCCTTCTTCGCCATGGTGAGATGCGACGCAAAGAGACGAAATAATGGTATGTCTGTATACAGAAAACGAAGTGATCAGCCAACCATTTGCGGCCGAGTTTTGTTCGGATTCGGATAAGCCCCAGGGCCGGAGTTTTCTTCCCCTTTGGGTTATCTTCCGACCGGCGGCAGAAGGCGATAAAGAGAGCATTCTTGGACTGCTCAGGATGGCTCAACCTGATCAAGGCGGGACGCCATTGGGATGATGTCGTTGAAAAATCATGATCGTAGGATGGACCTATTTTAGCAAGTTGTCGTCATAGTCTATAGTGCTTTGTAATTGTCACCAGTAGCATCAATATCACCTCTGCAACCTCTTAGAAGCCAATACAGCTGCTGCAGTTAAGCCGATCGACGCCATTAGTGCCCCGCGCGCTACTATTGATTTCCCTCTCTCTTCATTCCTCCCTCACCTTGACCTCACAATCATCATCTCCTATCTGCCCATCATGAACTGGCTCAAGTCTACGTATGCTATTTCTCCGGTCTCGTCTCATTTTTGATGTATAATATCGACCATACTGATTGATCATGCTATATGTAGCCTCGCAAGTGTTGCGGGCACTCAGGAGCCCATCTATGGCCCCGAGGCCATTCAGTCTGTTGCCCAACAAGCACAGCATACCCCTTATACCGAGTTGACCAAGGACGACCTGCGGTGGCGCGCCTATCAATATACCAATGTTGAGACTGAGACCTTTTATGTGATGGCCGACAATGGCACTCTGGTCATGGTGCAGGTCATCTACAGCAACATCGCGTGAGTGGAACTGTTCCGGCTGTTGCAATTCTCAGGCCTCATTTTGCGCCTGTCGACACTGCAATTGGGCCTTGTGTATCATGGCTGCTTCAATACCTGACACTCGTGCAGAGGAATCCACACTACTGCGCAGTTCAACTCAAAGATCTTTAACCTCAAAGGCGATCAACCCCACATCTGGCACTCCGACCCCCTATACAACTTCATGTTCGATGAGAACATGCTCTCCTTCGGAGCCGACAATCTCGCCTTGACGCTGAATGAGGAGGGAAATGCGTACACCATCAAGTCTGCCGTCAACGAGGACAGCCTGGTGAATCTGACGTTCACCCGCGCCGCCCCCGGTTTCGTCGTAGGAAAGGACGGCACATCTCATTTCGGGACCGATCCTGCGAACCCTTGGGGCTCCATGATGCATGCCTTCTGGCCTCGGTGCCGTGTTGAGGGTACAATCACGACGAAGGAGAAGACTTATGACCTCACCGGTCGGGGAGTGTTCATTCATGCCATCCAGGGCATGAAGCCCCATCACGCTGGTGAGTTCCCCCACCTTGTAGTATAAACGTAAATGAGAATACTGAGCCGGCAATAGCTGCACGGTGGAACTTTGTCAACTTCCAGACCCCCTCATACTCTGCCGTCATGATGGAATATACCACACCGCCCTCGTACGGCTCGACAGTCGTCAATGTCGGCGGGATCGTCAAGGATGACGAGATTATCTATGCCGGTGCAACGAACTCGGCTACCCACACCGCAACGGCCCATGACGCGGACAGCGACTGGCCTGCTCCGACTTCCATCAAGTGGGTCTGGGAGGGCAAGTCGAAGGACGAGAAGGACGTCCGCGCTGAGCTCGAGGGGCCCCTCGGTAACCGGCTGGACCGCATCGATGTCATGGCTGAAGTACCAGGCTTCATCAAGACCATTGCGGGAAGTGTTGCCGGGACACGGCCGTACATATTCCAGGTGCGTTCTCTTTTAACAATCGGCATGCGGTCTGTCAAGCTAACAATTTGCCAGTATTCTCCTCAGGAGAAACTGTCTCTAAAGCTCAAGATCGGCGACGAGGAGTTCTCAGAGGAGGGTTCCATGTTCTCTGAGGCTACGTTCATCTCATGAATGACCCTGCGTACATATAGCACACACCTGGCAGGAGCTTGTCTGTGGCGTTTTTGAGTATTATTTTGCCCATTCTCGTTGATACTCATAAATCACGCAACCTGCGTGACCCTAATTACTCATATAAAGAATTTTTAATGCTATTCATACTTGTCAAACCTCAATGCTACTATCCCGGTTCTTCTCAACATCTAGGGGTCACAACAATGCTGGTTTCATGTTTGTGCTCTTCAATGTAAGTGATTCACCCCCATTCAACGACATCTCCTGTAGCACAACACAATGGACAATAAGCTAACACAACTTGTAGTATTTATACTATAGTACTTTCCTCGACTGCCAACAGCAAACCACATTCCAACATTCTCCCCCGCAATCTGTCATATCAACTCTTTGATCTTTCGCAACAGACAACCACCTTACACAACTCTAATCAAGCTACTGTCACAATGGATGTCGCTCACTTGGCCGCCAATCCGAATACTCGAGGCCTCCTCCTAAAAGGCCACCGGCGTCGGTAAGTTGCCTATCTACTGCTGTGCTCTATGACCTCGACAGTTGGGACTCGACCAGCATCCCGTACGCATCCACCTTATGCTCACCGTTATAAACTCACAGTTTCCTCCGTGACAACATCCTCGGAATCAGTAAGTTCCCAACAAGCCAAATCCGAGCCCAACCCGCTAACCACAATCTCTAGCCAAACCCGCTATCCGGTAAGCTACTCGCCCAAGAACACCAATGAGACCTCCCCTCTGAACCATCATCGGAAACAACAGCCGTCTCGCGCGCCGTGGAGGCGTAGTCCGGATAAAGACAGACATCTACGCCGAAATACGCTCCGTCATCAGAGGACGACTTCGTGAGGTGAGAATCCTCCCCTTCGAACCACCTTGGAAAGCGTAACCTCGGCATTTCCGCGGGAAACAAGCCATCTGTTTGAGGCGAAGGAGATGTACTAACTGCCCTATCTGTAGATTCTGTTTCAAGTTGTGCAAGTCTTGGAGTCTTCCAAGACTCATAGACATGACAGAAAGGTTAGTAGCATTGGGTGATTTCCTTGTTGTGCGCAGTGGAGGATTCTTTCGAGTTGACCGATTATATCTGCTCTTGCTAATCTGTTCGAGCAGGTCGTTACCACGCGAGATGTGAGTTTCTGATAGTTGAACTGAACCAATGCGAGCGGATACTAATACGAATGTCTGATTCTCAAGGTCGTTTACGCCTTGCAAAGGGTGAGCTTTACTTATCCCCGGAGTTGTCCAGTTACTAACTGTTTGATATTACAGATGGGGCAAACAATGTATGGTTTCTAGGTCGTTGAGCTAACTGTTTGGAACTGAAACGGAGTTGATTTGAGAATCCAACGTTGGAGGACATAGTGACCGAAGACCGATAAGACTATCAACAAGAATGAATGAGGGAAAACAAGTTCTAAGACAAATATTGAAAGAAAGCTGCGTAACAAGTCTATCAACGAGATAGTACATAATGAAAGGAAGAGAATCCGCCGGCGGGACTGTAATAAGTACAGAAACTTCTTAGCGTAAGGTTGGAAATATGGCTTAACCTTCAATCATCAACTGCTCTCCTTCATCCAACAGAGTAGTGATCTTGGATAAGTCCGAGATCATCTTGTTGCCATGCCCGACCAACAGTAGTTTCTCAGCATTGGCTGGCAGACCCAGGTACGTGGGTGGCTCTCGCTCAGGGAGGCGTTTGACCCATTCGACAAAGTCGCGGATGCTGGTTTCTCCAGGCAGTGCCAGACACTCGTCCTTCTCAACACCCGAAACGAGCTTGTAGTCAACTTCGAAGGCAGCTGGAGTGAGGAAGTTGTTCACAAGGTTCTCCAGCACCTGGAAGTCTTCAGCGTGGTCGACCTTGCCACCATATGTCTCCGTAATAAGGGTTCGGATCATCTCCCAGGGGAGTTTCTGAGGTGCAACATTGGATCGACCCTGGGCAACCGTCTCCACCCAGACATCGATGATATGGGCTGAGCATTCGTACTATTAAGAACTTGTTAGCGGGATTGCAATGATAAATTTTGATAAAGTGGTCACTTACGTCACTGTCATTAAACTCCCAGAAGCCCTTCCAACCCAGGTTAGGCGCATAACGAAGTCTTTCTTGAACAACGGCATGCAAGAAACAAAGCAAGAGATAGACACGCGCTTTCTCGACCGGAGGTTGACCGGCGCGTTCCATCAGTGTAGAAAGTGAGTCTCTCATGTTTGCACGAATACCGGCTGGTTGCTCGTACATCAGAACGCGAGAAGCACGGATGAGATTGACTGGAATCTTGGGACTGGATTCCATTGACAGGAAGAGTCGGAAATCCTTGTGGGGTTTGAGCGAGTCAAGCCTCTTCTCCAGACTTTGAAGCCACGAAGGTGCCAGGTGTACGTTCTTGACCAGTACCCACGTCCCGGCAGTAGCAGCATTGCTGATTGCTTTGTCGGCACTCTCGAGACCTTCATTGGAGCCCATTGCGATATTGGCGCAGGTTGCGTGCATACGTTCGACGAGAGCATCCACTTTGTAACTAGCATCGAATCCGGGACTCGAGCTGAGAGAGATTGGTGTAGTTGCTGCAACCTGTTCTACAACGTCCTTCAAATCGGAACTTCCTTCAAAGAATTCCCGGCCAAAGACCGCCTCGATGAAACGCTCAGCAGCGGGTACGAATCTGTCCAGCCTGCAAAGCTTTACAAGTAACAATGACCGAAGCAGTCGGTCGAGCTGCTCGGTGTTGTCATCCCAAACGACCGGGACAGAGTTTTCAGCCAATTCCTCGCCCAAAAACTGATCCCATTGCTCTGGCGAGACATTGGCGAATGACGCTTTGAAGATTGCCATGTTCGAGATCTTGCTCAAAACCTGCTCTTTAAGCTCCGGAGCAGTGGACAGATCGGCACCCTGCACCGACTCGTCAAGAATGGTATCAATGATTGTCTTGTCCATCGGGTACGGAGCGGCTTGTGCGAGGAGCATGGCCAGCGTGATACGGTCTTTCTGGGCCAGCCCCAGGGAAGTCCGCTGGAATGTCGTGACGAACAAATCCTTGAGAATGATTTGCACGCGCGCTGAG